TAATAATAATAATAATAATAATAATAATAATAATAATAATAATAATATTTTATTTACGGGCAATGTGCCCTGGATATCAAATAGAATAAGACAAACATACAAAAATCGAGAAAATGAAGACAAGCATATCATCATGTACCACATTCCCGCTAAATTGCGCATACGCAAAATGACCACGACTGAAGTTTTGAATGGAAAAGTTGATTCGTGAAAAAGATCAACAGACGTATCAAGTTTTACTCGCCTATCCACGGCACTGCATGGATCGGCATACAACAAAATTATTATTTCTAGGTAGCCTTCTTGGAATATTAAATTTCAATAAATCCGGTATCTTAGGACATTTAATTTTTCGGTTAATAGTTTTAAAAAGGAGCATGAGATCGGCTAGAGTTTTGCGCTGCTTAAGAACGAGCATTTGCATAGTACACAGGTGACATGCTATATCCATAGATCGATCAATATTGTAAGAGGCTAAGATATTCGAAAGAAATTGATCGCTATCCACGGAACGGAAAGATGACTTCCAAGTGAGTTTGTCTTCAGGTGACGAGAAACGGTTTGAGAGACTAACGGCTTGTAGCTCGTTAGGAACGAGGTATAACTGGGAGTCGTTTCTCCGTGAGATTATAACCGGAGATGAGTTCTCTCATTGTCAGTTCTCTGGTCCGATTTGTAGCGAATCGAGCAACGACTTTCGCCAAAGCAAACTTCATTTCTACCATTAGAGCTTAGTTTGACATTGGAAAAGTCGAAAGTTTGTCTTTTACGCGGTCCAGCGTGCCCCTCGTACGACTCGACACAGTCTTTCGTCTTCCGAGAAATTTCTGATCTCGACGTTGATTAAAGGAAAAGCATAAATAAAGGATCGACAAATTTCTATAAATAATTTCGTCTCTCCATGAAATTTCTCGCGCAGACCCCTCAATTTCCTCTATCGTTCTCTATTGTCGCGCGCATTGACGAGCTTTACAGGAAGGGAATATCCATCGACTTTACTTACTTGCTGAGCATGTTCCTTCATCCCAAGCCACTGCTTGTAGCTGATAGCGATTCCGCTACGCCTCCATTTATCGTAGTTGCTTCTTCGCTCAGGATCGCAAAGAACCTCTTTTGCGTGCTGCGATAGAAATGAAACGGCGTTACATTCGCGTTACAACGATTAAGAATCGGTGCTTTCGATCGTAACGCAAACAAGATGAAACGACGCGAATGGAAAACTTGAATCGTGCAATCGTGGAATCGTGGAATCGTGGAATCGTGGAATCGTGGAATCGTGCAATCGTGGAATCGTGCAATCGTGTCCGAGCGACTCGTAACGATCAACAAAAGAACGAAAAGAAACGAACCTTCAGTTGCTGAAACTTCCTCTCGGCTTCCTTGTCTCCCTGGTTCTTGTCGGGGTGGCACTGGAGAGCCAGAACCTTGTACTCCGCTGTAATTTGTTCCACCTGGAATCGTACGTTTTCGTTTCAACAGAATTTCATGAATAATTACAGACTTTAAGCGACCGTTTAACCCACGAGACCTCTCGATTCTTTTATCGCAATTTTTTTACTCGAGAAAAGCGAGCTCGCAGCGCACGCGAGGTGGTAACAAGACAAATTGCCACGGAAATGTATTCCATCGCGACAATAATTGTAATCATGTCGTTTCACGTTTTGTTCGGATATCAGCGGAATACGTAGATGGTATCGAGATAGTATCGAACACGCTTCCGACGCGGTGCAACGTGTCCGCTCGTTTCCAGAGCGTAATCGAGACGAGGATTGCTCTCGTCGTGAATTTCGCGACTAATGGAAACCAGCGATATTTGCCAGGGAATTTAATGAAATCGCCCGTTGGGGGCGAGGCTTGAATTTCTTAATGGAACAACTGCGGGAGCAGTCCGTCGGTAAACAGGCAAACACGATCACTCATTAACCCCCGCACTTTATTTAAAGCAACGTTGCGTTATTTTTAGCGGGTCGTCGCGAACAAAGACGATGAGACGGGAAAACAAGATAACCGTTAACGTAATTCCTTGGAAAGGGTCAGCGATCACTTTACGCGATATTAATGACCATGGTTCGCGACGAGAACTCTTTGGCCGCTAAGTAGCATATTTTTGTACAAAACAAGGGAAAAATGCAAATGTCGCACTCGAAGGGTAGAGAAAGCGTCGCTAGTTGGAAATGTTAATCGTCGATGTCGAAAGTCTAGTAATCGGTGAACCCGGCGACATTCAACGTGCTAATAAAAGCGTTCAAGTTTCAACGAAGCAAGACAATTAAAGACCGATATCTCGTTAGTAGTCGACCGCGTGAAATTGTTCAATGATTGATTCCAAGCCAGGTGTTAGATATCAAATTAAATCGGCACATTTTTAACCATCGATTTTAACGCGCAAATATGATATCGGTAATGGTGGATTTGATTAAAACTGTATTTGCACGTTATTTCTTCGAGCAGTGGGAACTCGTTCGAAAAACGTGTCAACGCGTATCGGCGTTCGTTCATCGCGGACGCGAGCGCGAACGCGAGCGCGGGGGCGGGGGCGGCGGTTTCAATTGCACGTATCGAGCAAGGTCGAAGAGTGACGTAGCGTTGCTAAATGAAGTCGTAATGACGAGTCGACGGCGATCGATGCTAATCGACAAGTTCGGACGAAACACTAATTAAAGTTGAGTCTGCTGGTGATGCAGTTATCCTCCAGTGACACGACTGCCTGCCACTGAGTTAATTAACTTTGCATAACTTCGGAATGCGTATTAAATACGTACACCGTATCAAACGAACAGGAATCCGAACGCTAGGATATAAAACACAACTTTATCGTTCATTGGTGATTAAATACGATTATCCCATTCGTTAGCTGTGCCGTGCGCATTACGATAATTCATTCACCTCTTCACGAATACAACCGAATAAATAACGAACGAAACGCGTGATCGCACGCGTCTGCCGCTGATTCGTATTATTACCGATATGTATCGCGTAAAGTTTCAGAAGCGAAACACGATAACGAAACTCCATTGACGATAGACAAATGTAGATGAAGAAAGAAGAAAGTTGTATTAAAACTCGCAACTGTAGAAAAGTCTCAACTTGTTCGATCAACCCCCGAACCTCGTCATATCCCACCCCCCCCCCCACCCCACCCCTCGTCGGCAAACCTCGAAACGTTTTCTTTGAATCGCACAGAATTCCGTATTTTTAGTTACATCGCTTACCCTTGGAATTCCGTGAAATATGATACTATGTTCTCTAAAGTACAAATTCTCCGTCGATAACATTCAAAGGAAAACTTGGAGGCATGTGGTAGTTTTACGTGGATCCATTCGACATGGTACGATACATTTTTGGCTGATCATTGGAACCAACTCTATTATACATATAACGAACCCATAGAAGGGCTGATTTTCCAAATAAAATTTACAAAAATATCGATGCATTTATTATTTGACAATTTTTCACAGCTGACGTTTTTTATTTTTAACTTTTGTTCAAAATAACTTTATGCAATGGTAACACACATGCAGGCAAATATTAAAAACAAACCAATTGCAAGTGTACTATTCGATTCACAAGTTCGATACGAAATTTGAAAGTTTGCTAGTGTATAGTGGAAAGGTTGGATCGCTCGAAGGACTTTGCCGAATCAAAGTTTGGCATGCTCGATGGAAAACGAATGTCCGACTGACAGTGCGCGCGAAAAAACCAACAAGTATTCTGTACACGAACGTAAACCGAATCAACGAAACGAACGAATAAAAATTGGACTATAAACTATAATCGTTGATCGTTCTTTCGGGGCAAAAAAGAAGTTTACGAGGCTAGAGGCTTGAAAAGTGGCATAGATCTAGAGAACATGATCGAAACTTACCGTCGCGGACTCGTCGCACGAGAGGAGGGCATAGTAATCCTCCTCCTCGCTGGGTTTATAGTTGATGGCGTCCTCGACGCTCATTTTCCCTCGATAATTCCGCTCTCCAGGTGTTCCCTCGAGGACTGACCTCCCTGATGGTTCGCCGGCTTACCGTTGGAGGTACGGTTGACCGATATCGACGATATCGTTCGACTGTGATATCAAGAGTTGACGCGTGGTTGTCAGATTGGCACACGTCACCGTCGCGTCAGCGCCAGCGTCAGCGTCAGCGTCAGCGTCAGCGTCAGCGTCAGCGTCACCCGTTCCGCGATCAGCTTTCAGCTCGCGATCCTTTCGATGATGTTTGCGCAAAGTCGCTCCCCGTCACCTGTTGCCGTGTCCCACGTCGCCCGCTGAAGTGAGCCGGACGAGGGAAAACCGTGTCGGAGACCCGGAAAGTCCCGATTCCCGGGAAATGCCACGCGCTTGCGTAAATCAGCCAACAACACCCCCTCCGTGTCGCGATTCCGTCGATTCCAGAAGCTCCTGCGCACTCTCAGCCGGTCCTCTCTGTCGAGGGAGTGTATTTTCGTCATAGTCGGGCGGAATTTCTGTTTCGGATAGGAGGAACGACGACGACCACCACCAGAAGCCCGTTTCGTTCGAGGGACAAGCTTCCATCGAATGGAAATTCGTTAAGGGCGACGTTATCGGGCAAAGCTCGCATCGATCACCACTCGACAATTTTTACAGTGAATTTTTCACTCTGACGATGATAGAATGCTCGAGTTCAAACAGATTCGACATATTTTTCGACATAAACAAAGAGAAGATCGAGAAGCGATAAACTGTTTACGGATCTGTGTTTACTACACTTGGCTGTTGCGACTACGAACTACCAACGATTGTAATATAAGCCGTTCATAACAAAAGAAAAAATGTTGAGAAACGCGATGAAATTGTTTGAACAATTGTTTGACAATTATTTCTTTCTATTCATGACAAAAACTTTTTTCCCCATGATGGAGGAGAAACGCGATTATCCGACCAACTGTTTTATCCACTCGTAGCATCAGTCGTACGTTTTAATCGGACAGCCAAACACCGAGTTAATTAATTAGAGGTTCTGAAATTACATTTTTACACAATTACATCCGTGTACGCCACGAATCGTCGCGTATCGTATCTCATTCGTCAAAAAATTCGACGAGAACAACGTCGCGCGGATAGCTCGCTCGAACTAATTACTCGCCATTTCACGATACTCGCTTACCTTTGAAATGCACTTGTAATAACATTCCAAGACGTTCAACATTCATTTCACAGACACGAATGCACTTATGAAATAGACGAACGCTTCTAATTTAGGTTTACGACACTTATTTTTGCGAATTTTCAAACATTTTAAGCAATAGATTAATTATTGAAAAGATGTACAACGCGGAACGGCATCAGCTGGAATTATTGTCGACGAATAACTGCGTCACAGCTACAGGAGATTCCAGAGACTTGTGGCTTTCACTCGCAGCTGCTTGACCTCGGGCGTAATCTCCCGACGTTACCGACGGAGAGATCCAGATCTCGATTTCGATCACGTGCTCCTCCAGTATCGAACATTCGTAGACGTTGCTGCAACTCAAGTAAACAAATAGAGAATGTCGAACTGTATAAAATAGGAAGAAACAATGTCGAACGATAAAGATATTCGTTAAAATAATCACGGTTGGCGTGCAACGTAATTTTACAAGTTTGTACAAAATTCCAGAGGCACGAAGCGCGATGAGGATTTTAATTCGGTCACCTCGATATACAGTGGTAACATGTAAAAGTAAACTTTAGGTTCGAATGTCCTAAAAATATTTCTCTTTCGTAAGGAACATTTGTTATTTTTGTAAGAATATTCTCGACAGTCGCCTGGTATGAAATTACTGGTAAACGCAAATATCGTATGTTACAATAATGCTGCGGAAAACTGTGTCTCTCGAAAAGAGCTGGAAAATATGAAAAGAGAACGAACTCGTTGGTACGTGAACGCTCATCTGAATTTCGTACCAGTTTCCAAACAAAACCAGTCAGACGAACTGTTGCGCAACTTTTTTATTTTCTAGCGAAATTAAATTCATTCCCTTTTGGTCCCAACGGAAAAAAATGCCTCCGTAGTGGGAACGAAAGTTTCCCTTGGTTGGAAACTTTTACGAAACGTGATCGCGCTCGAAACGCGAAATTTAAATTCGATTTTTCAAGCGTTGGCGTACGTAGCGATAGGTTCGAGTCGTCGCAGCAAAATAAAAAATACCAATTAGAAAGTAAATATAAATGTTGGCAACGACAAAAGTATCGTACGTTTAATATACTGTACGAGTGGTGCGGTGATTCAAATCTCTGCTTGGCGCCACTTAGACGTCAAATATCGCGGCATACTTTCGCGCAGAACGGGTTGCTGGTTTCAGGGACCTCTTTCGCGCACCAATACATTTTCATTCCGGTTTTCGTTACTGTAACCATCTCCGACGAGATCCGCGAGATATTAACCCCTTGAATTTCTATTACTTTTTCGAATAATAACGTAGCCTGATTGCAGTGTGTGTTGAATTATCTCGATTAAAAACTAGCAAAATTAGAGCTCGGTTGGAATAGAAATAGGCTCGTTCCCTCGTTTCATCTCATCCTTTTCCAAAATATTCATTCCGTTCATTCAAAGGTTGATTCACTTTCACCTTTCACTTTCCGCGTCGAACGGTTAAAAATCGATATTTAGCTATATCCCTCTTTCTAGCGAACAGACATGGTTGACGTGGTCGTTGGAATTATCTGGAAAAAAAAGGTTTCTCGGAATATACGAAGAAAGACGTTCGAAATTTCGAGTTTTCCTCCATTTCGATCGCACGCGTGAAACAAACGCCGCGCCGCGGCGATCTCTAGTGGGCCGAGTATTAAAAGAAAGAAGGTTTTGTCGAAGGTGTCTCGCTCGGCAAATATTTAACTACTCGGTTTAATTCGACGCGAGTGGAAGGTACACATTTGCACAAGTCGAGAAGGCGCGAGGAGGCGGATAATCCTCTCCAAGCTCGTACGTCATTAGAAATTCAAATTTTCCACGGGATTATAGGAGAGGGCGAGAGAAGAAGACACCAAAACGTGACTGAATGCGATAAGTTCATTATGTATTCGTCTCGCTTCTGTTGAAGACGGCACTGATTATCGGTACCTCTGCTTACAGCTGTTAAGGCTATTGTCTTGGGAAACCCTGGAGCTTTTTAACGAAGAAAGCTCCCGATAACGAGGCGTCGGCGTCGCTCGACAACTGGGCTTTGCCGTAACAATACCGTCGTCGCGTTTTGCTTTTAATCTCGTCCAGGTAGCTTATCGGTTACCCTTTCTAAAAATAAACACGGTTTTTAGCCTTCCAAAGTTCAATCTTGTTCGACGATATAGGTCGTCGTTGTATTTTCGTCACGGCTCGTTTACTCTTTACATTACACGAATTAATGTTACGTATTAATGGAAGAGTGAAAGTGTTGAACTTGTCGACATTAAACTTGGACATTGAAAAATTGAGTTGTAACCATTTTTCGTATCCGTAATCGAGCTGAACATGGTACATAACGATATGCTGCGAAATTCTCTCGAAATTTTCTTTTCTTATCGTAAGTAAAATATTATTATTATTATTATTATTATTAAATTTTTAATGATCGCATCCACGATGGTTCTGCTTGCCAAGAATTTCCAGTATTGAATTTCGCGAGGAAATGGTGATGGATTCGTTTGTCGAGGCAGGCCGTGCAGGAAACGGAAGGCTCAACGTCGAAACGTGTGAAACACGTGTCGGCCAAATGTCAACGTTTCTCTCGGTAAATCGGCAACCCGAGCGGGCAGCGGGCACATTTTTCAGCGTTCGAGTTGCCGAGCCGCTCCACGCCGGCACCGGGCACGTGACAGCACGAGCCCACGGGACTGCAAGAGGCTAGGCTGCTTCTTCGAATTTAGGAGAACCGCTTAATAATCATTTGGTCTTTTTGCCTTCAGCATGTGTTTTAGCCGTCTGGAAAGAATGGAGGTACACAGCTCGAGCAGCTGGTAGCAATAAATCATCGATACGTTCGGTCGTTGCTTGCTTTTGCTCCTCGCCGCTTTCCTTGGTACGTAACCAAACAACTTTTTCTATGAAAAGTAAAATCTTCCTCCTCCGCGATTCCCTTTACCCAACAAATCGACTGAATTTCTATGATCGCAGGGATGATCTAATTAGCAATTGAAAAATCGAAATGTTTCGATGGGAACGCGAGCGAGATCAGTTTCTGTCCGTTGCAACGGATCCAAGCCCCGCTAAACGAGCGCGATAAACTGCATTTCGTCGGGCGCGACATTGTTAATACGTAAAATTAAAAATCTTTACTCTGGCATGGATCGGACCTCGCCTCGGCGATCGCCGCGTCGATAAGAGAGTATGGAGAACGCGTCGAGGGGTTACAGTGCTCTACTCCGAAAGGAAACGCGCCTATCCTCCGCGGAGGAAATACACGCTTCGCTCTGTTTCCGTACGCACATGCGTGACAGGACACGCAAGCGTGCACGCGCGCGCTGCACTAACCTTACCCAAACAGAAATTCTTTGCAGCCGCTCGTACACGCGCGCCGCGCAGCGTCCCTCTTCTTCGCGATCGTCGAGTGCAGCTTTAAACATTACCGACTCTTTCTTCCCCTGGTTTCCCCCTTTTTCTCGTTAGTACTTGCTGTTAATACTTTACACAAGTTGTGCCAGAGTCGCGCGGTTAATTAATTATTATATAGGGGATGAATAGACGAAACTTTCTTATATATGTACAGTTTATTCGTAGGATGCTCAGTTTCGAAAATCAAAAAATTGAAAAGTTAAAAATTCGTTGGAAAAATTGCATTTCAGAACAATGGTCTTGTAAGTTTTCAATGTTATCTTTGAAACTAAATTTCGATAACTTTGAATAAACTGATTTATTCGTTGTGAATAAATGTGTGAATTAAAAGTAAGTTGGCACCTTTAACGCACAGAAAAGAGAAAAGAGAAAACAAAAATACATACATATAAGTACCCTCTGTTTCTCTTTTACGGTTCCTGTGTGCCGACACCGTGTCTGCTCCTCTGGCGGGGGCCCTCCTTATTTATCTCGAAATAACGCTGCTGGCGCACATGGGCGTTTCTTCGGGTACTGCCAGATGCGTGGGTGGTGGCAGTGAAGAGAAGAGAAGGAGAGCACGACGTGACGGTCGCATGGCATCGTCGCGGGACTCCTCTTCTGGCTTGGCTTGTCAGTATTCCGTGAAGAGTTGTACCGTGCTTGCGCGTTGTCCTCCTTCGAACGCAACCCTACGCAACACGCGACGCGGCTCCCTTCGATCCTGGTATCGATCCGAAAGCCTGGCTTCTCCTCCTCTCGCGCGCGTCACTCTGCGTGACTCTGCTTCCTGTCACCGTGGACGCGACAGCAGTTTCGTGGAATCAAGTTTGCAGTAAAATTCTTTCGAATCGAAATCCGGATCCGGCCTCGTACTCGTATAGGCCAGAAAAGCGAGAATTTGAAAAGAAGTTTCGAAAAGTTCGCGACATCCTCGCACAGCCAAAGTGAAAGCGAAACGAGAAGCGAAGAAGAAACTGGACGGGAACATGGTTCGATGTTTATCGAACGCGTACCGCTCAACCGCATGACCTCTAACGTACTCCCTCGAGAACCAAGGGAGGAAATGAGAAGAAAGTTATCGAAACATGCCAAGGGTTTCGCTACCGACGAATAATGCCACCTTTCATGCGTTCCTCTCTTACGCTCGAACAAACAAAAACAACTGCGATTCAAAGTGTTATTTCCATCGAAATACTTTGACTCAATCGCAAACATTGTCCAGCTGATTAATCACCCTTCCGAAACGGCAAGTGCACCTCGGAGAGAAGTAAGGCAATCGACGATTACGCGGGGAATCGTCAAAGTTCAAGAATCGTTGCAACGAGAAGGATTTAACATAGTCGAAAGGAAAAGCTCGACGAGCAATGGGCCCGTCGATTTCGATCGATTACTCGTAAATAATTCAAGGTAAGCGCGAAAATAAACAATTCGTTAATGCTTCCGTCTCGATTTCAAAACTTTACCATTCTTTCGATTTCTACATATTAATCGATTTCGACCAAGAGACATTTCCGTCGCGAACGACGACTAGTCGAAATTCTTCGACTCTGGCATTACTCGAGGCAATTTTATTTCCGTCGATGCTCGGAATGTGCAGGAACGCAAAGCATTTCTTCCAAGTAAACCGTGGAGAATATCGTTCGAGGAACGCCCGGCACGTGGACATATCAGCTGATCGGACGACATCGTCAGTTTTCTGAAAGCTGCAACTAAATTTCATCCTCGCTGAGCAATATTCGATATAACGCATCAAAAATTTACGGCGTCGTTCGCGTTGGTTTGTTTTCATCGCGTTGTTTTCATCGCGTTGTTTTCATCGCGATTTCGAGACGCGCCATCGACGCTCCGACAGCGAATATTTTTCAAGCGTCCATGTCGAGAAATCTGTACGAATATTTCATTAGGAATTAGGCGGGCAACTCATCGTGTATAGTATATTAATAGATCGAACCTGACAGCCAAACCTAACCAGACGCTCAAACGTTACGCACGAAATCGTTCCCCGCGCTTTCCTTCGGACATTCAAACTTGGACCTCGTTGCGAGTTCTATTTGTGTGCGATTGTACATTTATTTTCATTCCCGTTATTTTTCGTTCGAATGTCGAGAAATTCTTTTCGAGACGGTACGGATTGACATAAAAAAAGGAACACATTTGAATTTTGATATATCGTGCCATTCCGATATATTCAGACCTGTAACGTTTGGCAAAAATCGACATGGACTTTTCAGACAATCCGATACTTACGGGAGTTCTCTACGATGCTTTCGTTTAAAGAATTCAAGTTTCACAATCGGCGAAAGCGTAAAGAGAAACTAAAGCATCGAGTTGAATTTTTGGCCACGCGTACGATTACGATAAATTTGTACGATCGAGAGACCGTGATGAGAGGAGGGGGTCGCGTTCGAGCCTAATTGAACGTGCATTAGCAGTTGGTTGGTCCGCGACGTCGCGTCGCGTCGCGTCGTGTCGCGTCGGTGCCATAAGTGTCTATCTGTTGCGTAAGCGACAAACAATGCGTGCAAAAATACACGTTGCGAATCGAACGTAACGACTAATTTTCAGACATTGTACTCGATGACTGTTTAATCGGCTATGATAAATAGCAAATTAGGATACAGTTTGAAAAGAAACAGGGGAACAGCGAAGGCGACGGCTTTTTACAGAGTAAGCGCGGTAGACGCAGAATTACGCTTCGTTTATTTGCAAATCGGCTTGATTTACCTATCTCGCGTTAATTAACGCGATTCACGAGCCGCGTCACATTTAAAGGAACGAGCCATGTGCACGCGCACGCGTAAAAGTGAATGCATGCGTTCTTTAGGGGGCACGTGCTCCGCCGGATGCACTCCCTTTTTCATCACGCACAAAAGCAGGTGCATCGTGTACGAGTTAAATGCAGTTCAGGTTGACCCAGCAGCGATCGACGAACTTCTTTCTCACCTTGAGCCAGAAATAGCACGTCCGAGGCGTTTCGCCCGCTTTCCGCGCGAATCCACGTCGAGGTTTGGTCTTGTAGTTTCCTCTCGGAAATTGGTTGAAAAAGTTCAAAGTATCGTTGTGTAATATCGAATATTGATACATAGTAACTGCAATCATTCAAAGCCGATATTATAGTGTCAGCGTAGACGATTAGTCTCGTTCCATAAGTGAAAATTTCATCGCATCTCTCCTTTTTTTTGGAAAAGTCTGGCTTAACACACGAGGCAGTGACGAATCTTCCATTTGGCTGGCTCGTTTTGCCCATCTTTGGTTGCAACGTTGCAACGAATGCGAGAAGCTCGCGCTCCACTCCGGCCGTGATTCGTCTCATCAGTTGATCCATTTGGACAGGGGAGTAAATCAAAGTGCTCGAGCTTTCATGGGAACGATAACCTGAGAGTCTCTCCCTCTCTCTTCGTCTTCGTCTTCGTCTTCGTCTTTGTCGGAAGCCACACGAAAATAGTAGCAACTCCCGACGCCACATCAACCAGAAGCTCGCGAGTTGCGAGCTGTTCCGCGGCGGAATTCAAACAAGTTTCGTGAAAATGAATTTCAAGGAACCTGTGTTGTATTACCTTGTGCGTATGCTGCTTACGAAATCGATTTTCTCCACGATAAAAATGTCATTCGAGGCCTCCGATAGTCTTAACGCGTTCCCGGTTCAAAGTCGTTACCTTTTATAACTAAAAATAAAAGAAATTAAATTTTAAACCTATTCCTCTTTTAGAGTTAACATAGCAAAGTATTCGTGATAAATAGCTGGTATGCAAGTTATTTTAATTATAATTATTAAGAATGGCCTTGTTCCATTTAACAAAAAATATTTTTGCGATAACAATTTACAGCCAAAATTCTTTTGTTTATTTTATGAAAAAAATCATCGTATCGTTTGCTTTACGGAAACCAGCTGGTACGTACAGCGAGAAAATTGATAGAACGATCCGCGAATAGCCAACAATGTTACAAAGAGAAATTACGAAACACGAGATATGTAGGAGGAAGCGGTGCACGAACGGTCCGGTGAAGATGAAAAGAAGAACAGGAACAGGAACAGGAAGGTGTAGGAAAATCGCACGCCAATATCGTGCCCAGATAAAACGTGAATGAGCAATTCCCGCCCGTTCCTATCCCCCTTTTCCATCCCGTCCTACAACCATAAACTTGTCGTGACTGTCGCACGACACGCGTATCCCTGCATTCATGCTAAATATAATATTCGAGCGTATTTTCAGCGATGAATGAAACTGACGCTGCGAGCGTCATGGGCCGCGATCAAAACCGGAGTTGCGACTATTCGGATTATTCGATACGTAGCGAGAGCTCGAGTCAGAATGAAAAATCATTTCTAGCCTCGTCTCCGTTTTCGACCAATTTTATTTCACGCCTCGTTCGTTTCTTTTGCCTCTTGTTTCCTCTATCAGCAGTCGAGAACGAGCGTCGGTATTCCATTGGTCAACATTTTCGGAACTCTATCGAAGATCGATCGATGTGCTCGTTGATTGATTGGGATGCCGCGAGAAAATTCACGAATGCTCCTACTTTTTTCTTTCGTTGTTTTTTTCTCTTTTCGTTCCATAAATTGTCTCTCGTTTCGACGACAGAGGAGAGCTGCGACATTTGGTGGTGCGGAATTACAAATGGTAATGCGCTCGTAATAATAAACGAAGCTTTTGTTTTTTCTAGATTTTTTAACGGAGATGTTTTCGTTGTTACAGAGCAACAGAAGAGCAGGAGTTTCTCGTGCTAGAGGTCACCATGGCAGTCGGTAAGCCTTTTACCCATTCTTGGACCAATCCACAGCCACGTATCTCGAAGACGCTCTCGCACTCTAGTCACGCGTTTCACGCATAATCACGTGGCCACGTCGCGGACCTGGCTACCGGGTATTCCGCCCTGCCGATGCGTTTCTCGTTTTTCATTTCGTAGGCGTCAGGAGCGTACGCCGACGATAAATTTCATCGATCGTTAAATCGTTCTTCTCTCGAAATCAACCTCTCGATGGAAGCTAAAAATACAACCTCGCCCTGTCTTTCGTTTGTTCGAGCTCGAGCTTCGTTCGTATTATTTACTTTCACGATTTCTCGTTTCCTAAAGCCGTGTCGTTCTCTTTGCAAAGATTTCTATCGCGTCGGTCTCGTTTCCGTACAAAGATTGCTGTCGCACCAATCGATCTTCGTTTATCTGCTTCTTCTCTTATTTTTACCTCTATCTTAATAATCGAATGTACCATCGAGAAAACCGACAAGGAATGTTACTTTAGGCGGTATTGCTTTGAACATTTTTTCCGTACACTTTACTATACCAAAATGCCAATCCCCCGAAAAAGACGGCGGGCGGCTTCTTTGACTTTCGATCCCGAATGAAACAAGAAACTCGACGCCCACCCTTCGCGCCTCGCCGAAAAAGGGAAAAGAGAATCGATCTTTGGTGGAGCGTAAAAAAACTCTTGTTAAATCTCTAGGAATCCTCTCAAGTTTTCAAACACGTCCGAAGAATCCAGGGAAAACAGAAGGAATCTGTCGAGAGATTTCGATCGACGTCGACGGGACGGTGGGCGAAGCGACACTCGAATTCATAGGCGAGAAACGTACTCGAGAACCGTTCCCGTTTTGCTTCTCACACTCTCGTCACGTAAGTCGCGTCGACCACGCAAATTTCACAGATTTTCAGCGATCCGATACGTTCGATTCGAGGAATCATCGTCCAGGAATATTGGTAATTTCGTAAACCAGCCCTATTCGAGAGATCCTGAAAGGATCAATGACAGGGACAGCTGACACTCGTAGAAACGGGTCGAAAGGTGAACCATTTCCAAAAATATTTGTTCAGAAGCTGCCAGTGAAACTCGTTGACAGGAAACTCGGCTCGTAAGTTTCTCGCCCTAGCCCCTCTTCGCGAGGTCGATTCATCTTCGAAGAGTAATAACGCGTGAATCGTGAGCGGCGCGGCGCGGCGCGGCCGCGGTGGTGGCGAACTTCCGGTGCCGTGTACTTACGTCTGACTCGTTCCTCGCTTCTGGTTTACGGGGTGGGGGACAATACAACGTCCGGTCCATCCCCCCACTTTCAAATACCATTCGATTCGTTGATGGCGTCCTATAGACATCGCGTATCTCTGGCCGAGCAGTCTCAGGTGGACCTTGTATTGGTCTAGTCGCGAACGTTTGTTTTTTTATCGCGACATTCGATAGCTCGTATCGACTCCCGTGACTCCGATTTTCCCGATTGTGATCATCGAATGACAGCTACAGTGTGCTCGACAGAGAACAAGAGAATTTTATTCCAACTATAAACGGCATATTTTGATTTCGTTTAACGATAACAGATGACACGGTGTTTCACCTTTTATTCGTTATTCAACATTTATATTCGGATATCTGTATGGTTCTCAAACTGCAACGATCGAAAGAGGCATCTAGAATGAAAATGTGTCTGGTTGTATTAATAAATGGTTGGCTGTAGTTTAGCCGAAAAATAGAGACTCGAAAGGGTCCCGTCTTTCCGGAAGAGTTTGCACAGCTGAAAGTGCAGAGAGAGAGGGGGGGGGGGGAGAGAGAGAAAGAGAGACCGATGAGTTGGCGCGCGAGTGGAACAGTTTAGAGAGGAAAGCGTCTTCCGGTATACGAGCTCGAATCGAAGAAAGGGACTCTATGAGTTTCGGCCCGTATGTTCACAGACAATCCTTCGTATTTCTCGTTGTCGAGCGGTGCAGCGTCGTCGACAACCGCGACGACGCCGACGTCGACAACGAGCGTAGCCTTTTCACCGCCGTCTAAGGGTCCCAGTGGCCTGACGGCCCTCTTCCGACGTCGGCCCTGCAAGATGGGCACGACCTCGTCCGCTAGCGTTCTTTCCGCCTCGACGACCAGCACCCTAATGCATCAGGAGAGCAATCGTAGCAGCGCGTCGGTCGCCTCGACGCCGTCGACGCCCACGGAGGAACGCGGCCCGATGCTTTCCAGAAACGGAAGCAACGCGGGCCCATCGTCCTCCAACCAAAGGAGGAGCTTCAGGAACCTGTTCAGGTCCGTCAGCGCCAACGCGGAAAACGAGAGGACGCAACAGTTCCTGAAGGGTGATCCGCGACCCTCGGATGTCGCGCCTCCCTCTCCGTATCTACCTCACAGGTTGGTGTATACACTGTTCTCCCGAGAGAATACAACGTAAAAGAAATGTCTCGAGATGCTATCATTTAAATAAGACAAATTTCTTCGATAGACATTGATAGATATATGCAGTTTGTAGTAGTTAGGAGTCTGACTGTAGGAGCAAACATTCGGACCATTCTAGTTAGTAGACAGACATTAGTAGTCAGTTTCTCTAAGAAAACTTATCGTCTTGGACAGGTCGCACTCGCACTCGGAAAACGACAGAAGGCGACCAGGACGAAGCAGAGCGGTTCTAAAGTCTGCCAGCGAGCTTCTGTCGAACGATATGGTGTATTGCGGGCTATCCAGAGACAGCCACCGTCACGACAATAACGACGACGATGACGATGATCCGGACTCGAGCGAGGTTTTCATCGGTGTCGATGACGCCAGGTCGGTAATCGAAACGAATCACGCATCATTTCCGACGAGATGAAATTTAGTAACGCTTACTGACGTATTTCAGGTACTACAACCTATCAGCCACCCTGCCAGCGGCAGGTTCAGCGGCAGCAGGCCAAAGAAGACACTCGATCGGCACCTTTCTGGGCAAAGATCGAGGCTCCTCTACCAAAGATAATGTCAAGAAACAACCCAATGATTCCACCGTCCTGGTGGAACCCGACACGATGGCACCACCCGCGACAGTCGTGGACACCGTCGACGGTGTCCACGCCGAGGACAGACCTGAAAGGTCCTGCAGTAGGACCAGACGTAGACGACATCGTAGTTCATCTAGCAGAGGTGAGTGAGAATTTCAAAGATTCTATTTCAGAGAATGACCGAACAACGAGACTCGTCGGCGAAGCGTGAGCAGTCTCGCTTGGAAGTTTGAGTTTCCATTCTTCCATGTTCTTTATTCTAGTCGTACCTATTTATATTTAAACGAAACCGCTTTGTCGCGACGCCGACGCCGACGACGACGCCGACGCCGACGCCGACGCCGATGCGCACAATGGAACTTAATTGGCTCGGTCAAGAGAGCTCGGAATCGACTCGATTCAGACTCTAGAACGAAAGACTGAATCTCGTCTTTGATTCTCACCAGGCCGTCTGGCCAGTGCCTCAAATGGACCCAATTTTCACCGCATTCGCGGCCATTCTTTCCTCCTTGTCGATCAATCGCTATGGTAATTATCGTCACCACTCGAACGGCAGCGACATGTCGCGTTCCCACGACGAGCCCGATTTCGCTTTGTATGCCCGCATGACCGTCCGAATCACGTACAAAAGCCTCGTTACGAATTCCTACCACCGCACCGACCCGATTTCGATCGATTCGTCCAAACGACCAATTCGCACGCCCACCTCTGACCCTTATCAAATACGGTTCTCAGTTTCGATCGAACTATCTATCCCGCTTGCGCGACGTACTCTTGCCAGCTGAAAACAACTGTCTCGAATGATAAGAATTTTTATACGTCTGGACGTGATTGCGTGTTCAAGAATCTAAATTCAACCGCGACTAATAGATGGCACTCCTCGTACGAAATTCTGACCCATGGGACGCCCATTCCTTCCAACGCTATCTCCTTCGACTCTTAATATTGCCTATACTAGCTTTCGACAAAGGGTACAACAAGGCGTCGAAGTGTTCTTCTTCCTTTGAATTCGTAAATGATTCTCTTCTTTTTCTTCGTATCGTTCTTCATCGATTCTCGTCAGCAGTGAAAAGGGAACCGCGAGATTCCCACAGGGCCAGGCTCGCCTTGAAATTCGAATTGGGAATCGCGGCTCTAAAGGATATCCGGTGATCTTTGATCGGCTCGCAGATAATCTCTAAGCCCCGAATGGACGTGTGTTGACAACACAGACGACACGGACCAGCTCCGGAAGCCATATACTTTTAGTATTCCGTGGAACGAGCACCGCTTTCCGACCTGTAGTCGATCGTGCCATCCGAAACGCACCAGACGGATTGTAAAATTTACGGCGTTACGTGATCCGTCGATGCCGGGGACCCAAGTTCGTTAATTTCACGTGATCGAACCGCGACTACCTAGAAATTATGTCGTCCACGTGCCGCCTGTGTTCATCTGTCGTTGATTAATTAGCAACGGTACCTTCCCGAGAACTCTATCGGGACGAAGCACACGATCGAAGCGTAACGCGCAGCTGCGCATAACAAATGATTCTTATGAGACTGTGAACAAACGTTCCCCTAAAAACTATACCGTATTTCGGTGCTCTCGCTTTTCGACTTTTGAAACAGAAATTAATGTTTGCAAACCTGCATCACCTTTGGAAAAAAAAAAAAGTGGGTCCGTACAAGTGCAAAATATGTAAAATCTGTCTATTCTTTAAAAATTCCTCTCAATAATGATCATTTTGAATCGAAACTTTTCTCCATGTAGATCTCATGGAACTCTACCAAAAATATCCATAAAGTTATTCTTTACAATGAAAATCCAGTTTCTTAAAAATAGGAGAATGATTTTTGTAAAAATTCGCAACAGAGTCGGCTGTCGAGTTTGGTCAAAATCTAAAATTGTTAATAAAAATTATTTTTCACTTTCTCGGTTAAAACGAACCATATTTCGTGAAATACCACACAGGAGCAACTTGTGTTATTTACAACAACAAAAAAAAAGAAAAAAATTCCAAAAGAAAAGTGGTTTAGAGAACTGATATCGTTGAACTAATTTATCGGTTGGGAACGTTACGTTGGCGAACGATCGTTCTTTCGTCTTTCTAGTGGCAAGCATTGAATCTTCTTGTTGGGAGTAACGAGTATCGTTTACGCCCAATTTTGAGGCACTTGGTAGCAAATTACTACTCGACGAAGCTCAAAGAGATGCTTCTGTATGTTACGTATATACAAGTTAGTAATAAGGAATTTGTTCTTCTTTCATCAAGTTGACGTATTTTTTGGAATAAGCATGCAAAAATGAACGTTAGAAAAGTTCCCGTGGTTATGTTTATGTTTACATTGCTGAAATTTGTTAGCACGAAGAGAGAAAGAATTTACGACGGGAAGCTTCCGTTTAACGCTGACAGCGGCGAGATTGTCGTTGTACGATCGTGCCGGAAGTTTTCGTTCATTTGTTGACACTGTCACGTCGTTCGATTCATACGAGCCGTCGAAAGGATACAACACTCCACTTTACTATATTTTTTCCCGCTGCCTACTGGGGCACGTAACAGCAGCAGCAGGAGCAGCAGCAGCAGCACCAGGATAAACTGTATACAAGTCCGCCGAGAGAGAACCTGTGCATCCGGCGCTGCGGAACCGCGCCATGTTGCATCCGGACGAGACAGCGACGTGACACGTTGTCTTTGGTGTCGTTAAAACAAACAGCGTCGACACGCGTCACTGATTCGTTTTACGCCACGATTCGGTAAACTTTGGCCTAGAGATTTGCTGTTTATTTGCCGTTTACGTATACAGCGAGCGATGACAGGTACTACGAGGTCAACTCGCGAACCATTAACGACGCTTCTTCTTAAAAAAATGACTCGTGTTCGGTAGACTATACCGATTTCCAGCTGCGGTTTAATTCGTAGACGACGCGTGACGATGCATGCCGTGACGATTCCGTGGCATGTTAAACAGACGATAGAGCAGGTCGCATAGATCTGCTCCGAAGATGCCGGTCAATAACCGTGAAATTAAGCATTCCACCGGCACAGGCCGCTTTCCATCCGCGTATATATTTACCGGTTATACTTCCTGGTGTTGACCGAGCACGATTTCCGGTCCCACCCTTGCTGGGCCTTCGTTTCCGCAACGCGACGCCAAAGACTCGATTTCCTTCCCTTTCGATTAGCCAGTTCGCTTTCAACTCGTTACCCCGTTATCCCCTTGAGGCTAGGGCTCTATAAATTTCGCAAAACTTGTCGAAAATATCTATCGGTTTTTCAATATGTTTCAGAATTTCAATATTTTTCGTTCGTATCGTTCATACCGTTCGTTTCACTTGAATAAAGTAACTCGATTTTCTTAGCCTTCGTTTCTAACAGCGATCCGGCTAGACTAGCGATTCATTTAAATTAATCGTCGTTTAATCGGCTCTGCCGTCGTTAATGGCTACGGCGCGTCGGACACGTTGAAATTAAAGGTTCTTTCGTTGGGACGGATGCCGTCTTCCGCTTTTTTACGTTCGGACTGACAAGAAAAAAAGAGCAACTCTTCCTTTCGCGAGGCAATTATCCTTAATTACTGTTGGTCAGACCTTCGACTTGGTCAATCGTATCAACTCGGGCTCTCGTCCACGACGATCAGGAATTTAAATGAAAAATTATTACGCGCTTCCTCGGTCTTCACCGTCGCGTCATTATTTCGATCCTGTTCGATTTGTTTTCCTACGCGAGAGTATTTATCGATACACCAGGAACTACGCAAACATCCGGATACCGTGTAAACGGGACGTCGTGAATTCTCTTATCGAGTGATTCTTGCCAGGTCTGGATTAGGTTTAACTTTGTCTTAAAATAGACATTCGTAAACATTTCCAACGTTTTGGTACTTTGACCGCTTTCGAACAGACCTCTTCTTGTACATTATTCGATATTTATTTTTCAAATTTCCACAACATCTGCACACCAATTTATCTCGACCGTTTTATTTTAGATTGGGCAATTAAAAAATTCATACGCAAATTACATCGACGTGACGCCGACGTTTCCAAGTCTGACGCGTTTCTTTTGTCCAGTTTATTGCCTCTGGATCCTTTCAAGGAATTTCATTGAGTTTAGTCGTAGGGAGGAATAGTAGGGAGTAGATTGTTCGAGAACAACCTTTTCAGCGTTCCGTAAAGATTTTCAGTCACGCTACTCCACGAAGGGGGAGTAATTGTTTGAAAATGGTTTCGAGACCCAATTTTTATTTGTGCCCTGGAAAGGGATTCGAGATCGTAGTTGGAACGGTCATCAAGTACCTAAACGAACTCTGATTGGTCAATACGCGATGTCCGGCAACTGCGATTTATTCGGTGAACCGGAAGTCCACTGTTGTTCCTCTGTCGATAACTCTCGTACGAATGTTACGTCTGCTTGACGGCAATAAATAATTTACATCATGTTCGATGCAACAATCTATTGCATGTTCCTCGAAAACCGACAGAGAAATTTCTTCGATTTACCAAAAAAAAAAAAAAAAAAAAATAACATTGCTAATTACATGTAGAAATTTGTCGATAATTGGTAAGGAAGGCGGTGCACGTCACGTGGTGATATTTTGCAAAGTGATTTCACGGCAATAGCAGTTAGTAAATATCGCGTGAAACGTCGCGTCCGCGTCCGCGTCGGCGTCGATGCAGCAAACGTCGCATTCGGGTCGAGCATAAAGTTGAGCCTATTTCTGTTTTTACAGCCGCCCCTTTATTATTTTTATCTGCCGGTCGGCTGCTTATTTTCGTGTTCATATGCATTTTCTAAGGAGCGTCGACATTCTCCGGCTCTCCTCTATTTTTACGTCATCCGTGAAAAAGTGTCCTCCAATGGGCCATGAATTTCACGCGATGCCACCCTCGTCGCGTTGTCCACAAATTCGCGTTCTGGAAACGTTTTCGAAGCAAAAGAAAATAATTCCGATGAAGTTTGCGTCAGAAATTGCGTCGTTTTACGCGCTTATGCCGTCACGCAAAGAACAAGTCTTGGAATAAAAAAAAAAATTATTTTCGATGCTACCAGAGTCTTTCTGACCTCGTAGAGAGGCATAGGATTAAGATCGATATCTGGCAGTGGCAACCGAATGTTCCAACGAACCCATCAACTTTTCGTACTTTGTCTAGTCTGAGGCAGGC